GTTAATAATATGATTTAACCTATTACATTAAGAAATTTGTATTTAATTTGTGAGTTGGGTCTCAGTTTATTTTGTCCTACTCACTGCAGCATATATAATGCATGTAGTGATTTTCTTGGTGTAATAAAACAATACAAATCTAGGTAAAATGTTAATAGCCACTATGTTTTCCTTTTGGAGAATAAATATATATTATTCACAGTCCATTTACAGTTTGAGTAATTCTTCCTTTGTTTTATGTAGTATGATATTTCTATAATAAAGTCCTATACATAATTATGTTAAAATGATTGTATGTAGTCTTTCCCTTCAGATCATTAAGAACGTATAATGACATAGGATTTTTAAGTTTTGATATTTGTTCTTTATAATTAGCTCTCTAAATGGAACCAGATAATTTTAGCTTATTTTGGAGCATTAGGAAACGGGTGAGCCATTGAATTTTTTCCTACAAAGCAGAGTAATTCTAGGTTGTATAAAGAGAAGGGAAGGATGGAGTTCTATTCTATGTAGGCACTTTCTTTCTAATTATTTGCTGACCTGTATGAGTGACCTACCTATCACTTACTTTGTAAGGATTATATAAGTAATTAAAGAATTTTTGCAAGCAACTGGTCTTGAGGCTTAGTAGGAATAAACAGGACTACAATCATCCTTATTATTAATATTTCATATCAAAATCTTTTAGCCTTGAGGCCACTGAGGATATTTGGGCAGGTAATACTATACTTAAGTAATTTTATTTTATTATTTAAAAAAAAATTTTTTGAGACAGGATCTCACTCTGTTGCCCAGGCTGGAGTGCAGTAGCACGTCTGACTGCAACCCCAAACTCCTGGGCTCCAGTGATCCTCCTGCTTCAGCCTCCTGTGTAGCTACTACTACAGGTACTTGCCAGCACACCCAGCTAATTTTTAAAATTTTTTGTACAGGCAGGGTCTTGCTATATTGCTCAGGCTGATGTCCAACTTCTGACTTCAAGTGACCCCAAAGTGCTAGGATTACAGGTGTGAGCCGCTGTGCCGAGACCTTCAGTAAATTTTAAACAAAAAGAAAGCAACCAAACTCATTCATTGTTCAGATTTGGTATCAGTAAATTAGAGAAGAAACAGAAAGAATTCAGAACTCATTGTATTTAAGCCTGAAATTAGATCATTCTTTTTTATCTAGGAAACCCCAGCCCATATGGGCTTAACGATACAATTTTATTTTTAAGAAAAATGATGATTATTATTTTAATGACTGTTTAAAATATATTTATCATTAAATAATATATGTCTCTGTAAGTTGCACAGTGGATGGGGGTCTGGAAATCAGCAGTTAGTTGCCGTGGATTAACTGCTTCTTAAAGTTTCCTAGTCTGTAATATAAATGGGTAAATTGGGTAAATCAATTTCTAAGAACTCTAAAGCTTTGTGATATCAATAACAAATAAATAAGACAATCTTCACTGAAATTCGAGATGGAAAAGCCTTCAAGATGATCTAGAGTCATTGATTTGCTCAGGTTTGCCCACACATTTTGATAGTGGCTGGTCTTTATGTCCAGACTTCTGATGCAATGGCCGATCTCCACTCTCCAGTCAATGTCAGCCATGATGCGGCTATTCTTGGATCCTGCATTTATTCACCGGCATTAAGTCTGGGAGTGCCAGAACTGGCAGTTAGTTAATGCAGTGGTAGAACACCAAGAAGAGAATAAAAATCTACTAAAGAACACTCTGCACAATAAGGATACAATAATTTACTGAATAGTAAACAAATCAAGGAATGCTTAAAATAGTATTTATTATATGAATGTACTGAGGTTCAGTTTTTATAACCTATCAAAAAAAAAAAAAAAAAAACTCAAACAACCAAAAAGCCTTTATTATAGACACTAGGAAGCATTACTTCAGTACATAGATATAGGGGTACATTCTTTTTTGCTCAATAAGAATCAGAAACATTTATATTCTTCCTCTCTCCCCTTTTCAAACTGTGTGTGTATGTTAGAGAGAGAATTAGAGAGAGATACTCAGATCGAGATTTAAAGCCTGGGGCTAGGTAATTCTATTCTAAACAAATCTTGAGTAAAGAATTGAGCTCAAAGAAATGCCAAAATATTGCATCAGCATAAAATGTGAGCTGAAGACCCACTGCTGCCATACAAAATGCTGCCTCACTTGGAACCTAAAGCTAATATCGTTCATTTATTTAGCTAGCTTTATAGTGTGTTGGTTTTGGATTTGAAATGATTAGAATAAATGCAGATGGAAAGTGTTGTTATAGTAGAGAAATAATTAAATTGGGTGTGGACACTGTCAGGAGAATTCTTGGAGTGACATATGTATCAGCAAATTCTTTGTCTTGCTTGGCCTTAATTCTTCTTTTGGATAGAAATACTTGGGCTGCAGATGTAACTGGTAGATTGAGAAAAAAAAATATTGACAAACACATACAATGTTAAGTAAGGCAAAACTCTCTTTTTAGAAATAATATTATGTGTATTTACTAAAAGCCAGACTTCGGGGATTATATTTTCTCTGTTTCCTAAAACTGTTCAAACTTGATGTCATATGAAAAGGAATATAATGTGCTTCATATTAAAGTTGACATTCTTTACATGTTTTTCTTTTTTTGCTGTCTTCTGTATTGCTAACTATGTCCAGCAACTATGTTGGCCTTTGTTTCTAAAACTAATGTTAACTGCAGAATGAGTGCATGAGAAAACTAAAATGTATATTTTTCTCATGTTTTACCTTACTGTGAGATTAAGTTTGTTACCAGATAGACCATCTTAAGGCATCAACTGAAATGTTATTTTTGTATTGATTTTTTTCTATATTCTTGGTAAATTTATTTGTGTAGATTTGTGTCTCATTTAAGTCATTACTGAAAATACATGTTTCTTGTTTAATATAACAAATAGCTCCTGGAAAAATGAATTTTATAGCAGAAATTTCCATGAGTCTCACATTTTTTTTGACACTCTTCTACTTTAAGTCCTTTTTATTTCTGATATGAGGTGAGGAAATAATTTATCTTATTCTTTAGTTGTGTTCTTTACAAATACCTTAGAGCGCCTCTATGTTAAAGTAATCTCCATAATACCCAAGAGATTTCTTGCTCATCTTCTGTTTCTGTTTCTCTTTGCTTTTTTCTCGTTTGGGCCACTGACTAGTAGAGCATTTTCACCACGGAGATCTAAGTAAGACATAGAAAGGAAATAAAACTCCAATCAGGCAGTTTTATTTTATACTTGTTCTACTAATTAAGAAGTGAAAGGAAATATAATTTTCATGAAATTAGGCTTTGAAGTGACTTCTAGGAATTATACCAGTTCTTTTCCTGTAGTAGCTTTGTCTCATCCTGGTCATGGTATTGCCAGTAGCATACAGTAAGGCAATCTAAGGGAGAATGTTAAACTATATGAAGTACTTACGGTACATATGAGCTAAGGTGATAGTTTTTCCATATGGAGAATAAAAAAAAGATTGTGTGGGTAATGGAGAGGATTGACTCTTCCTTATTTCATAAATTAAAGAAATTGATTTTGCTGAATACTTAATGATTACCTTCGGTTAGCAAAGGCGTTGGCCTGTGTCTTCTTGTTCTAGTCTTTACTCGCTTTGCAACTATCAAGAGAAAGGCAGAATGACTTTCCAGTTTTTAAATAAGTGTTGGAATTAATTTGTATTTAATATCTAATATATAAGTGAGCCTCAGGTAGTTTAT